GAGTTACAGTATATAAAAAAAAAACACTGAACAGAGAAACCCCAGAGATGAGCAGAGAGAACACGCACAAGCACAGCGAGACTGCCTCGGTCACACAGGCAAGGCGCTGTGAGAGGCCTTGCATCTTTCAAGAAAGAAAAGAAAATTCCGTACCAGATTACTGTAACCTTCCCCTCCGCACCGGAGAGCTTTCCTCTTGTGACAAGAAATATATGGCATCGTACAGTTTATATGACACAATTCCAGAGCGTGACTCTTATGTGTTTTAATCCTTCCACTCCCACAGATAAACTTCATCAGCTTCCGGATAAGAGAAGCTGAGCCTCTTGTGGGTTTTCTAAAAAAAGGCTCTCTGATCCAGCCATTGCCCATGGAAATACTATTAATAATTAGAATTTAAAGCACACACATACATTCCAGCTGGCATTTACGTTGGTCATCATGAATCAGCAGGGGTCATCTATAAATTAACTGGAAACTAGAATTAAAATCAATGATATATCATTAGCTTAGTCATCTCTCAACAGGACCTCTCTTTGGAAAGCCAGTGCCAGATTTCCGCCTGATTTCTCTTTATTGTTGTTCTAAAAAGACATGAAGGGATTTTTATAAACTGACTAACTCAGCTTGTGAGGACTGTATCGCTAATAGAAGCAAGCATTGAGCCTCTGGTTCCATTTCTTTTTTAATGACCACAGAGAGTCAGGACCTTGGTTTTACATATCCTCTGAAGGACAGCACCTTTTTACAGTCTCGTGTCCCCATCACTATACTGGGACATTAGGACCCACATAGACTGCAGGGTGAGCGCCCCCTACTGGCCCCACTAACACCTCTTCCAGCAGCAGCCTCAGCTTTCCCAGGAGGTCCCCCATCCAGGCACTGGCCAGGCTCACACCTGCTGAGCTCCAGTGGGCTGCCAGTTGTGATTTTTGGAAATTAATAACTTTCAGTATTTGTAATACTTTGCAATAAGTTTAATTACAATAATAATTATTTTAATAATAATGCTACCTACATTCGAATAATTTGTAAAATATGGTAATTGACATCGATATATTCTCTTATATAGCCTCATAGTTCTCATTCCGTACGATTAGAATCCAATGACTTGGCCCCCTGCGACACTTTACTGGGTATTTGTTTTAGTTCTGCTCAGTGTGCAGTGAGTATTTTTCCACAATCAAAACGTTCATCTTGAAAAGTAACCACAAAGATCCAAAGGATTTGCAAGTCTTATCTGTGAATGCAGCACATATGAAGTATGCAATTGCCTATCTCACGAGGAAACAGGGATTTCTTAATCCAAGATGGGTTACTGTTGTTGTACCCCTATGGCAGCAACCTTACTGTTAGATGTGCAAACTTCCCCAATTTCAATGTATTATCCAAAACCTTGGTCAGTGAATTGTTCCTGCCATTTCTGTGGATATTCTTTCGTATACATAATAGACATAAAATTAAACATAAAATGTAAGTGACTGCTATGTCTAGTGACCAGATTTGTTGACGATCAGGTAGGTTTGCTAAAACCACTTATTGGTGAGGTTAGCATGCTGAAACTTCAGACTAGGGTGGTGCACTGGCAGTCACCAGCGTCTTGGTGCCGAGGCCTGGCCCGTCTGTGGGGATTGTGGGGATTGTGCATGTTCCTACAGTTGTGCCTTGGTCTGCTCCCTCCTCCAGATGCCATGCTTGAAGCAGCTTGTGCCCTCTGGTTCGTGTTTCACTGTTTCTGAAGACGTCTACTGGGAGGACCAGGGTAGACTACGCATGAAGTAACCGATCTATACTGGGGCACGGAGCTCTGATCTGCCTTTTATTAAAGGCTCTTATTTCAGCCAAAAGGTCAAGTAACAGTTTTAAAAAAAGTGCTGCTGTAGAGTACTGCATTTTCAGAATTTGTGCATAGCATTGGGAATTGAGAAGCAGTGAAGCATTTTTTTTCTTTTTGAAATCTACAGCAATAATAAAGCATAAGTAGGCGTTTCTATCCATAGTAGCTTACAGAAGCTAAAACTGGCATCAATAAATGCTTCCACAATCGCTTTACAACAGGAGTTGGATTTAACAGCTCATCTGGAGGATGGAGCTTGAGGAGATGCAGCTACCTGCTCACATACTGTAGGCTGATACACCACGAGTCCACCGGAAGCCTTCTGATGCCACCCCCTGACTTGAGGTGCGTGTCAGATCTTGTAGAAGACCCTATGGGATGCGGTAAGAGCTGGAGAAAACAGGAGGCGTGGTAAAAAGGAACACACAGGGGTTTAATAGTGCACAAAATAATAGTGACAGTCCGTGAGACAGTGTACAGGGTCCAAGGGCAGGTCAAACGGGTCCAAGGGCAGGTCAAAGCACGGTCCGAAAGTCCGTCAACTGGAAATCCATTCTGGGACGCGACAAAGTTAAAATCCCCGGGAGGGGGGAGCACACGGACAAAGGAAACATGGAGGTCCAAGGGTGACGGGGCGAGATCCTCCAGACCCCGGGCTCAGGAAGCGGGAGGTGTCGGGGATGAGGCCTATGCCCTCAGGAGACGGACGTAGGGTTTCCTGGTGCTAGGCGGGCCTCGCGACATCTTACCCTAATGATGAACCCCGAGGACTTGAGGAGCTGGTCTTTAAATAATAACACTAAAAGGGTACACCTGGAGAGCTAAATGACACGAACAATAATGAGAGCAGTGGAGCGCCCTCTAGGGAGGGATGTCGGGCGTGACAAGTACTGCTGCCTGAAAAAGACTTGCACTTGCACTGCTTATCCTGACTTTAAAATCAGATTGTGCTTGATTGTCCTTGGCACTAGATCCCTTGGACACACTGTTTCAATAGCGTCCATTGTTCTTATAAAACGTGAGGGCCTGGCTAGGGAGCAGTGACCACAGGAAAACCATCGCTCCATTTTGTAACCACTTCTTCCACCTCAGGAACCTGGGGGAGCTGGAGGCTGTCCTGCAAAGCAACGGGAACAAGTCGGGGTACCCTGTCCCTGGGAGGGATGTCCCTCCATTGCTGAACAGCCACACCAACACACCCGGGACACACACACTCGGGACACACACTCAGGACTGCCTGGCTTGCCACTTCGACAGTCTGGGCATTTGAGTGGGCATTTACTTGCATGCCCAGCCCATGCTGTGACACGAAACAACTTCCATTCAATCCAGGCACGCTCGAGGAATGTGCGATCGTTTGCTTTTTTATCGCAGTTCAGGGGAAGCTCCAGCAACTCGGGTCACTGCGGGGTTAAAACTGAGCCAACGGGCCTTTCCTCCTCCTCGGCACCTTGACGGTGGCGGCCGTGTGGTGTGTCGAACTCCCCCGAGAGCCCCGGCCCCCCGGGCCCTTGAGGGAGACGGCCTCGGCTCGCGCCCTCGCAAGATGGATGACTTGCTGATGGGGCCTGACCGTTCTGCTGACAGCAGCAGCGAGCAGCCGGTCGCAGTGAAGGCCTCTGCTGAGCCTTTATCTTGGTGATTTAGGAGTTGGCAAGGTGCACCATACTCCCTGCAGGTTTCAACAACACACACATAATGACATTCTGAAAGGGATACTGTGGTGCTCATAGTCACATACACACTACCTTGCATGCCTTCTTGGCTATAAATCGTGCTGGCAGGGCGATTCGCAGTATCGCACTTACATACAGTATGTGATTGTTCTTCCACGCCTGTTTGACTATTCGCACGCTAGCGCAGAGCACATGGCACAACACCGAGTGCAAAACAAAGATGGCACAACCACAACTGGTGTTCGGTCTCTTGTTCCTGGGCATCCGACAGGGCCTGGCCAAGAACCTCATGCAGAAGGCTGAAATGGTTCAAATGATTCAGGTTTGGGTCCGTCTTAGGGATGACTTGTTTTGGCTGGTCACCATGTGTGTCTGTGTGTGGTGTATTTAAATATATATATATATTAATAAAAATGTCCACTCAATGACTTAAGAAAGTGAGCAATAACTGGAGCTATCGATGAAGTACTAAGCGATACAACATGCTAGTTACTTTAATAGAGGGCTGATCGTTTCCAAGCTGGTCTGTGAGACTGGCACCTGGGCTGCTGCTCTGTGTGAAACTGGTGCCGCAGGCAGCAACAGCTCTGAAGTTCCATTGATCCCTGGAGCCTCCTGGGTTTTGTACAGATTAATGATAATCAATCCGGGCCGCAATTTTTTAAAAGGAGTCAGAGGATGGGATTTACTTGTAAGGCACATTTATCTAGATGTTTCCCCACCACAGGGGGTTAGAGAGGGACTGGTATCGGAAGGAACAAAAGCAGTGATAGATTAGAAGTACACAAATTAAAGCAAAATCTATGAAAAAGAAACAAACATTTGTCATAATTAACATAATTAAAAGTATATAAGAAAAGTAAAATACAATATATAACTATGGTATATTGCTATGGAAAAATAAATCTACATAAATATATCAGGTTGAGATGAAGTATAGCAGACATGTCTGAAAAGCATTAGCTGAGAACTTCATGTGTATTTTTCTCAAAACTCACATACAGCTTTAATGGTTTCATTGTCTCTCTGTGTGAATTTGAAAGCTAAAAAAAGACTGAATCCCTGTTGTGTTTATTATGAGAATCCTTCTGTTGGTGCAATCTGTAGCAGACAGGCGAGTGGTGATATTACCAGAGCCCCAGTGACACTCAGGGATGTGGATAAGGTGCAGTCTGTTCAGTCCGAGTAAACTATAATAAAGTCTTTGTTAACCGAGTTCTCTTCAGTAGAACGTCCTTCAACATGCTTGTGTTGCACTTAATTGTATATGTTCCGATTGTTTCTTTTGTGTTTCTTGGGTGCTATCAATTCACACACTTCAACAGCACAATAAAATATAACCCCTCCCCCTCCTCCCTTCATTTCCCTTACACTGGGGACCTGTCTGCTTATAAGTAAGACAACATGAGGTTTCTAACATACCTCAGGAGACCAGTGTACGAGCCAACATATATTGACAACCACGTGTTTTTGTGTTTGCTTTGTAGGCCTGAATTAAAAGACGAAACCAGACGAAAAAGAAGAGATAGAGGACAAAGGCTCGACATGCCAGAGCAGAGCAACGACTACCGGGTGGTGGTGTTTGGGGCAGGGGGTGTGGGCAAGAGCTCGTTAGTGCTGCGTTTCGTCAAGGGGACCTTCCGCGACACCTACATCCCCACCATCGAGGACACCTACCGCCAGGTGATCAGCTGTGACAAGAGCGTCTGCACCCTGCAGATCACCGACACCACGGGCAGCCACCAGTTCCCCGCCATGCAGCGCCTCTCCATCTCCAAGGGCCACGCCTTCATCCTGGTCTACTCCATCACCAGCCGCCAGTCTCTGGAGGAGCTGAAGCCCATCTACCAGCAGGTCCTGCAGATCAAGGGCAGCGTGGAGAACATCCCCGTCATGCTGGTGGGCAACAAGTGCGACGAGACCCAGCGGGAGGTCGAGACCAAGGAAGGGGAGGCCCAGGCGGCCGCGTGGAAGTGCGCCTTCATGGAGACCTCGGCGAAGATGAACTACAACGTCAAGGAGCTCTTCCAGGAGCTGCTCAACCTGGAGAAGAAGAGGAACATGAGCCTCAACATTGACGGCAAGCGCTCCAGCAAGCAGAAGCGGGCGGACAAGATCAAGGGGAAGTGCAGCATCATGTAGGCCGCGTTGGAGACCGACAGAGAGATCGGGAGGCTAGCGGAGTGGGGGTGGGGCTGGGGGGGAGGGGGTCGGGGGAGGGGAGGAGAAAGCACAAGGGGTCTCTGAGAAAATAACATGCCCTGCGCCTGTCCCAGCAGCAACGCCCCAACCCTGGCATGAACCTGGAATGAAGAAGACACGTTAGACACATCTATCACGCATTCCACTCCATAGCTATCCCTTCCAGAAGATGACTTAGAGGGAATGGGGGAAAGCAGTAAAGGGACAGGAGCTGCATGTCTCATGGAGTTTACGGAGGATATGTGAACGGGAGTCATTTTGCAGTGCCGCCTCCTATTCCTTCTTCCTCATGCATCCTGCCTCCCCCTCCGGGGCCACCTCATCCTCATTCCCCCACACGAATCCAGAATCTTGCAGTCTCTCCCTGCAAGTGCGAAGGATGGGAAGAAAGAGAAAAGGAGGCCACAGGACAGAGATCTTCCTTTTGCAGGGAAAATAAAAGAAATTTCCTCCCTACAGTGGAGAACATCAACCTGCTCAAGGTCCGTATCTAGAAAGTGAGCCCAAGGCCCCCTGGTTTGGACATCATTGGAGGCCTTAACATTAAAACACAATTGGTCAGAGATTCCAGATTTGGAGGATCAGAATGGGACATTTCCCAGTTGTGAAAATATTTCCATTATGAAATCATTCCCAGCTGGTCCCTTTAATTTCCTGCTTAACTGCTTGTTTTTGTTCTGCCAGTCTTGGCTTTGTGTGTATCTAAATTAGGCATGTTGTTCACTAACTCACAATTACAATCCCCAACTATTTAAATGGGCCTAGTTGCACAAGGCTGTTCTATTTGGTGTTCCAGGGAGATGTAGAACAGTTGCAATGTGGTGCTGGACCAGGAACCACCTTGCAACCTAAAAGGATCACATCACTTTTCTCCATTACCTGTAAACCGAGTGGGTGGTTTGTAGATCAGGAATGACTTTTGCAGGACAGGGGAGAGTGTGATACAAGCAGAATAAGGCCAAGCAGAAAATGTGTGTGTCCTCCTACCTATCTCAGGGGGATTGTGTCTCTAACAGAAAATTTAGTCAAAATCTGAATGAAGCTTCCCTAACTACATGTGTTAAATCCATAGTCAAATACAAACCTCCAGATTAAGACATTATTTGCCTTATTGTATTGCTTGCTCTATAAATAATTAGAATAAAAGATAAAATATTCTCAAATGAGACCAGACCCTGTTGCAAAACACAGTTTAGGACTGAACGTGGTTCTTAGTGAGTAATCCAATTTATTTCTGCTTTATGGTGAGTGTTGTTGTTGGCATGAAATAATCTCAAAAGGTTTAGAAAATATTCTCAAGTACAGGTGATATAAATGTAGGAAGTTACAGATTATCTGGAACAAATATCTTGAGCCTTCAAGGGTTGAACAGATTATTTGATTAACTGCTCAATAACTTGCAAGTGTTCCCAATCTTTACGGGTTGATTAGGTAAAACTGTCTGGGGCTTGGTCTTTTCTGTAATCCTTAATTATGTAACTGATAACTTTGGTGTTGATTAAAAGATAGCCTCCTGGAAGAGATTCCTGTTGGTTAGTGGTCAGACGAGCAGACATAAGAATCTAGGGAGCCATTGTGCTGGTGAGAGTCTTGCACCCACAGAAGGGGATTTACCATGATGCACTCTGCAGTCATAGAAGACAGCATGAAGAGAATCACAGATGGGCTCGTTGAAGGTGGGTCATTACAGTACTGGTAGCTCAGAGCTGGTCTACTCACTTGTGGAAAAGGTGAGACACACCTGTCTTGAGCATGAACTATATGTTGAGTTTATGCCTGCTCTTGAGCATTTGTTCTTCCACTAATTTTCAAATAGTACAAAAAAGATGTTTAGTCACACTCCCATAATCACAACCCTAGATTGTAGTGTTGTCATTAATTAACTGATAAAATGCACAGGTCTTTTGTTTTATAGGAAACCATCCTCTGGGCTAAAGCAATATCTTTTCATCCCTTCATGTTTCACCTTTCTGATGCGTCATGTTTCCTTGCACTTGAAATTCCAAAGTGTGGCCCACAGGTGACTCTGCCTCTGGGGCTCCTGGCCTGACTGAGTCCTGGGTGCTGCATTCCTGCAGCCTTCAAACAGGAGGCTCCTGAAGTGTTCAGAGCCCCATCCAGGGGGGTGATCTGCTCATTAGTACCTTAACGCTACAGAAACCCAGATGAGTTCTGGCCCAATAAGCTGTTGAAAAAACCTGTTTAGCTACTCCACTTAAGCAATTTTGTTCTTAATGGCCTAACTAAAGTAGAGCAAACAAATACCTGGAGGACTAGCAAGCTGGAGGGGCCTTGTTTGCAACCCAGTTTTGTTTTCTTATGACTCTTTCATTGGCATTTTTATGACTGACACCCATCCAGCCTCACCCCCGGACAGGACTTGGGAACCCCCTGATCTGTGTGTGTTGACGGTAGGGGGGAACATTTAAAAACCGCTCTTGAGTCAAGCTCCTTTGCCCTCGTGAACTTGATGAAGAAATAAGCTCAACAGCAGCGTGCTCCAAAACCACATCCACCTGCCGTTTGTCTGGAGGACCGAGTCACTCCCCCGATAAAAGACGGCGCACGCTGTCGGTCAAGAGCTGAGGCGCACCAGGACGGAGGAGACGAGGTGTGTCTTTGTCATCGGCTCTGCTTGCAGGCTCCTCTAAGAGCTGGGCAAACCCTTCGCAGTGGGACAGGTCTACCTGAACAACCGGAGAGCAGTGCCAGCTGCTGCAACAGCGCCCCCTGGCTGTCCCCTCTGCTGTCCCCTTCAGTCCTGAACAGCAGGACTCGGTTTTCAGTCCTGTAGCTGGTTTCTGGTAAAAAAAAAAAGGGGGGACAAATGCAGGAAGGAACAGATTTCTGAACTTTTTTTTCCAAAATTATTTTAATCTGAGGATGCAAGGAACAGGACAACTACCTTGTGGGTCATTCTGGAGGACGATTTTATAAGCTCTCATTGCTTAAGGGTCTGTAACACATTTGAAGAGTGAAGCATTGACGCACAGACGAGTGAACTCAGCCAGTAAATCAGAAACCCAGGCAGAGCGCTGGTAGGTGAGGGTTTTGAGAGGCTGCAGTTTTTCTTACTTCTGTCGTGCTGTGGCACTGAGCATATAAAAGAAAGCAGATGCATGCCCCTGAGAGCTCACTGGCATTTGTCACAAGATGATCATAACCAGCTCCAGATAAAGAAAAATGGTCAGGCTTTATTTTAATGCCATCTTATGTAACAGATGTTATGAGGACTCATGTACTTGCTTCAGTTTTTAAAACAAGTGCCCATAATTAATTTTATAATTAAATTAAGGGGAAATTAGGGGAGTAAATTTTCTGTTCAGGATAGCAAAATGATGCAGTAGTTAGCATTTTTGCTCACAGCAATGTGGCCCTAGGTTCAAATCTGGACTTGGGGCACTGTCTGTGTGGAGTTTGCATGGGTTTCCTCCTGCAGTCCTGACCCTGCATTGGTTAGAAAATGGATGGATTATCAAAGTTGTTACAGCATCACAAGTGACCTCTACTCAGGTGTCATTTAACATAAGACCATGTTGAAATATAGCCTGACCAAAAACATCCTGCACGCAATGTCATTTTCCCATGGCCACTTTTGCCTCTCTCTCCTATAAGTCTTGTCCTGTGACTGGCCCTGCACTGGAGTGGGAACCCCAGCAAACCAGAGACTCTCTGTGAAACCCATGAGCCCGCAGAACTGCTATCGTCAGAGCCGCGCACCCTAAAAATATTGCAGTAGAGAGAGAGGGGCATCGTGTTCAGGTGCTGTTCAATGGCAGCCGGGATTGGGATTGAAATGCTCTCGGGTGCCGAACGCGGGTGCACACGGACGGTTGTCGGTTCTGTTCAAGTGCTGGTGGTGTGGAATACGCCCCACCTCCCGCTCAGCTGTGAAGCACAAACGCACAGTTGACCAGGAGCTGTTCGGGGACAAGTGACAACTGTAGTGCAACATTTTCATGTGAACCGCTGGCTTCGAATAAGGGGGAACAGATGCAAAGTTGTGTAGCTGTTCTTTAATTGCAGTTTTGTTCCATTAATGACTACAAATTAGCTTCTAAAGGCTTTACAAATGATCTATTACTGTACGTGCCACTACTATTACAATGGTTATTATTTCCTGTGTTTCCCATTTCCATGCCTGTGAGATTGTTTCTGATTTTTTCATGTTTATTATTCGGCATTAGTTCGTCCACAATTAGCAGGGTCACTGATAACACTCAATTATAGGAATAGTTTTCTGTGTTTTGTAGACTTTCATCTTGTGTTCTCTGCAGCTTACGTCTACAATGCACTTACTGTACAAAGTATACAGGTAACATGTAAGCTGTAGTTTTAAAATACCAGCACAATTTTTGTTTTTACATTTTGTTTGTTATAATAATGAAAAAAACATTACCAAACCCCACACAAGTCTTTCAAGGTGCTAACTGAATTGCACCCACGAGGCAGGTTAAATGTTTTTTTTCTATGTGTCAATGGCAGGGTATTTTTTTTAAACATTTGGGAATGGAGGCTATGCATGTGCATGTGTAATCACAGGCTTTTATGGTGGAGCTGTAGTTCGCAGTCTAGGCTGATTTGTCTGTTGTGCGCAGTCCCCAGTGACTCACAGGACTGCCCGGCAGGGAAGACCCGCGGTCTCGGGCACGGACAAGGCGTGAGGGACTAGTGTGAACTGCTGAGGCTGATGACTTACAATTCCGGGTCGGTAGGGGATGATGAGAGGCCAGTGTTTGTCCTTGTGAAACTGCCCAAGATTGAAAAGACCTACTGTAGCTCTAGGGAACGGTACTGTATATAGTGGTTCAACGAATGTCTTTACAGTGAGGTTTTTTAATCATACATTCTTACATGTTTTGCACACTGATTAATTGTACTTTGTGTGTTCAGTGGCAAGCAAGATTTAAATAATTTAGGAAGGTGCTCAAAACCTGATTTATTTTTTACCTATGCCGATGACTTTTGTCATCAAAGCTTTTGGCTTTTGCCTGCTTATGTAGAAGTTCTCGTTCTGCAATGCCAGCAGCAGACGTAGGGTGCTCCCCTGAAACCGAGCTGGCAGAAAATTTTTACTCCTGCTGGTGCAAAGTAATTACTGTACGTGCAGTGTGTGCTCTGCATCCCAGCGCAGACTGATCCTCACTTCTTCAGTCACTCAGAGGAGCTTCAGACCAACAGGAGTCCCCTGTGAGCACGGAAATGACAGATCTAATGGGCCTGAAGATGAATCTTGTTGGAAATCATGTAATCGTTCTATCAGAAGGCATGTTTTTTGTGCTTACACTGTATTTCTGAAACTGTTATATCACACTGCAGATTGTGAAAATCTCCAGAAATCATCTGACAGAATGAGAAGTCTGATACTCTGCAGCGTATAAGACTGCATGATGTTTCAGCAGACTGGAGAGGATCCTAATATTCAGCCACACATTTTCTAACTGCTAAATCCACTTCAAGATCACAGGGGAGCCAGGGCCGAATGTTTTCTGTATTTCAGAGGCCCTGTTTTCCTCCGTGGGCTGTCTCATCCGTTCATCACTTAGAGAGCATGTTACCCAGAGTGAAATCAAGCATTGCAACGATTCAGTCTACAAAGGGCACACACCATCACAGAACAACGGCCTCTTTAAAACAGGATTGTAGCTTCAAGGATGATATTGGATCCTCCCTTTTAAATCCTGCTTCATTCTGTCCTCTGTTGTGAGAAGCCTTCTGGTTTGACATTTTGACAGTCTTTAACATTACCTGAGCTAATACTGCAGTATCCTGCTGTGTTGCAGTCCCAACCTAAAATAGAGGATAAAACCTCGACTGGGTGTTCTAGTTCTAGAAAAAAAACCTGTTGATAACTTTTTGAAGAGACAAATGTGTTTAAATGAATTTGAATAACTGATGGACAATGTGGGAATGAGTCATCTAAAAGGAGTCTGTGGGTATATGTATCCAGTAGGAACATCTGTGGCTATTCTGTGCTGACAGAGGGAGAAAAGCAAGATTTTCATACCTAGATTTCCATAGCTGTGCACTGTGTTTTCATACATATTCAAAATGCTGACTACACACAACTTGGTTTAGACAGCTTAAAATATTCATCAAGAAGGTTTTGCTGCACACGAGGAAGGTTTAAGCCTAGTGATGAAAACGTGCCTACACTGAATGTCTTCTACAGTACAACACATTAGAGCAATATGAAAATATTCCTCTAGAGAAGCAATCAACTCCTGCCCCAGGTCTTTAAAAGTATAATTGGTATTGGTAATTGGTTTATTTGTCTCTTAAGTATCTTAGGCAGAAGTGTCTCTTCGGCTCCTAAAGGAGTCACAGGTGTTCATTCATTTCATAATAGATTTTTATGTTGTGACCCAGTGGTCTCATTTCATGAGGGTATTTATGCTAAATACTCAGCAAGAGAATATCAGCTTTGTTGAGCAATATATCTATTCACCAAAAAAAAAACTTAAGTTCCTCTTAGAAAGCACTTTACAGGTGTTAATGTCCAAGTGCATGTTTTACTACAAGTTTTTTATGTTTGTGTATTTCAGCACACAGGAGTCTGCTGACTGTGGCAGGAGTAGAAAGAGAAAAGGGTCATTTTTAGAAATAAATTCAGTTTCTTGATTGAAGAACTAAACTCCTCGTTATCTGCAACAGCGGGCCTCCTCCACAGTGGAACTGCTGGTTTCAGCACATTTCCCATACAGGTCTAATGGGAGGTGGAAACAAAGAATCAAGTATCTGATTTGCCTTCAGGCCACCTCTCTTCCTTGATGAATGCAGGAAGCTCAAATTCAAGGCCTGCTTTTTCCATCTGTGGAACTGCCTGTTCACCCAAATCATTTGCTGTGGAGACAGCAGTTTGTACACAGGTTGCTCACAGGGGCAAATTAGCAACTTTGGACTGATTCCTGAAAACCACAATTTTCTTGCTATTATTAGAAAATGGCAGCAAACAGAAAAAAAGTAGAGAGTAAACTGAGTGGTGCACTTTCCTTTCTTTTTGCTCAATATTGATTTTTACTCCCTTAATAAATGCATACAGTATGCTGAGCATGAAGACTGAATGTGTGGCCCTCTTAACCCTATCATACAGTAATCAGACAGACATTGTCTCTCATCTCTTAAGAAGCAGCTGTGGGTTAATTGTGGATGATGATTTCTGTATCTGTAGGCTTGATCCCCTCCGTTTCAGATTTTTTAGCGTAGGGTAAGACTAGGGATAGTTTAACCCATTCACTACTGTTCCATGTTCAATACACTACCATTTCTTCCTCAGTTCGACCTTAACATTTCCATCTTTTATTTCCTGTCTTTGGGTTTATATCAAAATGCTATTTTATATTTACTAAAGCACAATAACACGTGAGAGAGACACCAATATACAGCAATGTCCGTATCCAGCTGCTCAAGATTGCAGACATAAAATGAACAGAAAAATTCAAATCGACTCTCTCACCTTACTAACAGTAGCAGAAACTTGCATTCTTTTTTTAACTTGAAGGAGGAGGAGCCGATTGATGAGTGAAATGACTGGATTGTGGGCAGCATGATGTTGCAGTGGTCAGCGTTGCTGTCTTGCAGTGCTGGGGCTGTGGGTTCAGTTTCAGACCAGGGTTGCCGGCTCCTTGGAGTTTCTATGTTCTCACGGTATTCACATGGCTTTCCTCCATGGGCTCTGGTTTGCTCCTACAGTCCAAAGACATACTGGTAGATTCATTAGTTTCTGTGAAAACTGACCCTGAGGTGTGTCTGTATTTGTGTCTGTGTGAGCCCTGTGATGGACTGGTGTCCCATGCAGGGTGTATCCTACCTTGCGCCCAGTGCTTGCAGGGATAGAATCCGGCTTCCCCAAGACCCTGAACTGGATAATGTGGTTAGAAAGTGGATGGATGGATTACTGGAGAGCAGCGATTAACATAGTCTAAACTGCTAATTGTTGAAATGGACTAATTACACGCTCCTTTGTATAAGGGTTTGCTGGTATGCTGCACCACTGTCCACAGATACAAATGATTTGTAGATTATTTTTTTGTATTAATTTAGTTGTTGAAATCAATACCATCTGCAGACTGAAGAACAGAAACCAAGAACAGGCCTGCCCTGCCCCTACGGACACACCAGACATTAACTTTCTAGCTGTAGGAAAAAATGAACCCCTGTTTCTGAATTAATCCAAATTCAAAATATAGTTTTGTTTTTACCCAAACATTCAGAAAATGAAAGAAAGCTGGACATCAGATGCAGCCAAAGATATGGGGTTTTGCAATGCGCCTGCAGATTATTTAAAGCACAATTTTCTATGTGTTCCCAGTGAGATGTTAGTCATTCTTGTGAGGAGCAGAGATGGGGGCAAATTCCTCCATGGCAATATGCTCATTTTACTGCACAGAGTGAGTTCCTGTCTTCCCCAACTCTACAAGAAACAAAGCAATGCAGTGTTCGTTCTTCAGATTTTCATGAAATGTGTGAAAAAGACTATATATAATGTATATTATTTATCATGTGTTACATTGGGATTGGGATTTCCTGATCAAAGTGTAAAATGCCATACTCTGTGTTACTGTACTTGCCTTGTAAATGGCTTTTTAATATGTACAAATTGGCCAAAAATACTTATACTGTAGTTGTGTTTGGTGATGATACATACACAGTGAGAAGACAGCAGCAAGGGGTTCTCTTTTTCACTTCGGGGTAATCTTAAATCTGCTGCAGCCATGACACTGAATACTATCATATATTTTTTAAACTTTTTGAAACAATGGCTGTTTTTCTGTGGTATGAAAAAAGGCAACCACAAATGAGGCCAGAAAAGACTTCAAAGGAAAAGCATTACTGTGAATAAATGTTCCAGTTGCAAGTTGTATATTTTGTTATACCTGTACATGTGTTAGAGGTACAGTGTTTTGAGAATTTATGTTTATTTGTTTCTTGGTATTTAGATTTGTTTTCAAATATTGTATTTTAATGTGTTCTAGAGGCAAAATAGGCATTGTAATTAGGAGCTCTGGTAATAACACTTTAGATAGGGTTTCACATATAATGTATGAGACTGAAATAGCACTTAAGTCATGTATAGCAGATGTAAATTGTTGATACTTAGCACCTTTTTGAGAAACAAAACACTGATATTTGCCTCAAAAGTAATACTATTAATACTAGTGGTAAACTAGTTGCTTTCCACTAGTAGTTAAATGTCAGAAGATATTCAAAATATATTTGTTGTTCAGGCTGCTGGTAGTTCTTTCTTCTTTGTTCATGTGATCAGTCACTTCACACTCAACCCAATGTTGGATGCTGGCTTATCTCCCAGCGGTATCAATCTCTACTCAATGTGAAACTGCATGACATCATTCGTTCAGGACGGGCAGATTAGTGAAAAGCTGAATTTAATCCAGTCCTTAGTTAGCTGTCACTTTTTGGGGAAGTCAGTGTTCTGTCCAACAAATCGGAATTTAAGACTAAGACTTTATATTGTTGATTTGACTTTATATTCTCATTTCGATGACAACAGAATGGGATCAGACAGTTTGTCAGTGAACCTTTTCCCGGGGTCACGGCTGCCTTGTAACACTGCACCCTGAGAAAAAGCAGTTTTGCCTGCTAAAGAGACCCATGTTAAGTGAACAATATTTCATACTAAAAGATGAGAAATCTGTACATTGACTGGGGTGATTGGTTAATTCAGGATCTTGGTAAAGGGAAGCACAGGTTGTAATGCTGTAGAAAACAATAAGCAATCTAGGTTGATCTTTCTGAGCTTTTCTCCACATGGTGTACAGTAAAGGCTCTTTCGCTGACTGTAAATTATTATTATTAGGTTTGCGATGTGCTACCTTCAATACCACATACCCAACTGGGGCTTACCATGTTTTCATAGAAGTCGGTAGCAAGTCCAGTTTGTACCGGACTCAGTGTGTGTGTGTCACAGGGGTTTGAACTATTCGCAGTCCAGTCTCGTCCTGGCCTCCCGCAGGATCGAGTTTAGTTCAGGCTGGGAGGAGTGTACAGGTGAGTGGCAGGGTGGAATCCATGTGTCTCTGGCTCCAGGTGTTTTGAATGGGTCTGAGACTGAGGGGCTTGTTCTGGCCTGGGGAGATGATGGATATCTTCCCCAGATGTACAGGATTGTCTAATATTATGGCCAGTGATGTCAGACATGCTAGGAAACCTGTCAGCATGCTGTTCTTTTGGTTGGAATCTTTTCCTTACACTCTGCAGTCCTATTGTTTGCACATTGAGATGTATATCAAAATGTAAGACATGTACATTTAACTACAGTTGGTAGAAGTAAGAGTTTTCGAGTTGCCTCTCCCCTGTGTTGTCTGCTTCCACTCTGACACGTCTGCTGTCTTTATTGGTGGGAGCTCATTTCTTTGTTTGCATGTCATGGAATTGCACAAGTGCAATATCTGTCCTGAGTCAAGCCTGGCTATCGTGAACAGTTTTGGCTTTAGAGCTGGGCTAATGGCAACACTGGGTTGCATTGCCTTGGAAAATACACTTGCATCCAACCATAAGGCAGACTGAAATGGCAGAGCTTAAAAAGACATACGTGGGTCTGTCATGATTTTCTTTTCAGCATGCAATAAGATGAAATGTGTTATCTGTTCTGTGTGCTTGCATGGTAATCCCATTCATTCCACTGCTATCTTTAGGGTCCACATTCAAAAAGCTACTGAGTGTGTGTCTGAAGTATTACACGGCCACTCTCTCTTCTCTTCCAACATCTTAAAATGAAACCCAGGGACAGGACAGTCAGTCCCCCACTTTCTCGAACTGCCTGTCCCATCCACTTCTCTCTCAGAATCTTACACTGCAGTTGCATTCTGTCATTATGTTTTTACCAAATGATTACGAAGTACTTTAAAGCAACAGTCTACCAGTGAAGAAGATGGCTTTTTGTTCAAACTATGATGGTTCTATGATCCTTCAAAACATTTCCTTGCCACCTTTTGCCTTTATAGCTGTAGATTAGGCAGGTTAGCATCTGTGTCTGCACAGCAGATGTAAACTGCTGCCTCAGGCACACCCCTGTATCCCTGTACCCCCCATTACTCAGCCCAAACTGGTGAAGCTCACTGAATGAAAAGGCCAGTCCTGTAACAATGGCGCTATCACAGAATTCGTACTAACACTTGATATTACACTGTCTGTTTGAGCCATGCGGGGCAGAGGGCTGGAGATGGTGTATCTTCCTGTCTCCCCCCAAGACTAATGTCATTCAAAACCATTTCAGTCGATAAAGAAACCAATATTTCTTCACTGCAGTCTCATTTTTGGATGAGAATCATGTGCAGATATGCAGAAAACCCTTTGCGATGTTCTTCAAATTCAAAAGAACAAAAAAATAGTTCAGCACACAGAAGACATTTATCGTGTTTGTGTTTTGAAATATGTGTTTTACCTGAGAATATAAGGAGTCAATTATTTTTCAAAGCAGAGAAATGTACCTCTGTAACCCATACAGAAAACATATGGCTGTATATTTGTGACTTACTGTAATAGGGAAGGCACTGTGTTCTGAATGCCAGGAAACAATCTTAAGAAACCTGTTAGGATTCAACAAAGGCACTTTGTTCTGCAAAATCATGTACTTTTTGCATTGTTCAATTGTAAATACGTGTAAATTTTACTTCTATAAATGTACAAGGTATCAGTGGGTCAATGCTGGTTGCTGGGAATGAACGGTAGACAGTCTTGTGGCGACACAGTCCAAACGCCCTGAGCTCTGTCGTTTATGTGGCCCCACATGGGGGAGAGACAGCTGACATGAATCCACACCTGCTCCTTAGATCCCCAAACCCCAGGTGTTGGATTGTAGCTTATTTTACTCTTTTCCATCTTTATGCAGTTGTAGAACACGACTTCAATCCCAAATGGCAAACAAAACATTGCTTCCTGTGGCGTTGAGTTTCTGATCCCAGGAGTGGACGTCACCCTGCGTTCACCCTGGTCTCTGGTTGTCTGAGACAGGCAGACACACATTGTGTGGTAGTGACTCTGGAACGGGAAACTCACCGGCTAAATATTGTGGAACTGTGTCCTGGGGTTGGAGATCCGGGTCTGAGGTGCATTTACTACAGCTGCACGCAGGGAGCCCGCCTGCTTACTGGGTTTTTAAACCACAGTCCTTCTGTTCTCCCACTGCGGTTAGGAATTCTCTTCTGGGGATCCTTCTGTCTCTGAATCACGGTCCTGGGCGCTGCTCTCATACCATAGTGGTTCAGTCAAGGGGGCTTCAGTCCAGTTGAGCGCCTGTCAGTATGAGGCCACTGTTCTGAGTCTTTGAGGGGAATCCACGCCTGGGGTCTCCACTGCTGCACACCGGCCACTTGGGGGGGCTATGGATACACACTTTTCAAGTCCCTTGTATCTGGGATTTGGGGGGACGCCTTGTGTTGCAATAAGTGAAATGCAGATTGAATCAAGGTTGGGCCAAGATTTCAGTGATGCCTGTTGAACCACAGAGAAATCTTCCGTTTCATACCAGACCCTTCCCTGGCATGGACAGCACTGGTACCTCGCTGTATGCTTACGCCAGCATGCCAACAGGACAAAAACTGTGAAGCATCTTTTTGCTTTTCTCCATGTCATTCTTCTTACTCTTCTGATTTCCAATGATTTTTTTTAATTTAACATGATATTAGATTGCGTTTAATTCTAGCAATAGTCTTCCTATTAAAATATACTGTGCTCATGCATCCCATGACAAAGGAGATAAAATATCAAGGTCTGCGAAATACTGATTTTTTAATAAAAGCAAAAAAAGTGAGACAACTGAAACCTCTTGCTTGTGGTCATTGATAAGACACTGTACAGGTTATGCAACATTAGTTCTAAATACGGTGCAATTCATTTGTGTTACTTAATTGTTTGAGGCAGGCAGTGCATATTTTATGTACAAAAAAGGTATATGAGGGTACGATCATGTTACAGATTGATTTGAAAATTTGAAAGGCCAAGGAAAAAAAAGGTAAATTTTGACTGTTACAAATAATTGTTTTAATGGCCTTGAAAGCACAAGAACTCTCAAGATGTTAACAAAGCCCAGGTTCAGTTCTGGGTTGTGGTGCCTGTCTTTGTGGAGTTTGTGTGCTCTCCTGTTCATGAGCTTTCTCTGGGTGCCCAGTTGCCTCTCAGCATGTGCTGACAGGGTTAATGGATGTCTTTAAATTGTCCATGTGAATGTGCAGATACATGTAGATAGACTAGCATCCCATCAAGGGTGTAATCCTGCCTTGTGCCCTAGCTTTTCAGGAGTTGCACCAAACACTTAAATAACCACCATCAGTACAACAGCCTTCACCTTCTAAGGATTCGGTCAATTTCTTATCTGTTACTGCACTTCTTTTGTAAAGAGAAAATGAAAAGGTAAAAAGGGAATTACCAGATCATAAAATTGAAGAGCAGGAGAGACCTTTTCACTTTCCTTGCTGGAGAGTTATCGGTGGGACCGGTTTAACACAATCAGTCATGCCTGACAGTTCTCTCAATGGAACTGGAAGGACTCGGATAGCTTCTTTTTTAGAACGACCTTCAGCAAAGGCAGCAGAAATGAAATGTGGAATTCATTCACAATCTTTCACCTCCCTCCCCACACACACACACACACACACACACACACACACACACACACACACTCACTCTCTGTTATGTGTCTCTCACTCTCCCACCAGAGTCTCAGCCATTTCCTTCCCTCTCCAGGAGGGGGACGTTGACAAATAAAACTGGGCTGGTGTCTGGCGCCAGTAACATCACTGCAGAGGTGAGTGTGCTGCATTAGAGGTTGGGATTAAAAATGCCAAATTGCGAGTGATTTCAAATAACAGAGCCCAGCTTATTTTTCCCCCTAGATTTCATTGGAGTTTTGAGAGGATTATAGAGGCTGGCAGCACCATACAGCTCTCTGCTTTTTAAATTCCCTGTTTTCATTCCTTTGTCGCCTCTCTAATTCCCTCTCTCTCTTTCTCCTCTCATCCCTAGTCGTCTTAATGAGCTCTGGAGAGTCTGTGACAGCCAGTGATGGATTCCCAGCCTTCTGGAATCTCAGCAAGACAATTCTTCTGACAGATGACAGGGTTGTAATTTTGCCAAATTGCAGTGCAGGGTCATCCGAACTACTGAGCTCTCAAGGGCACCAGCAAGTATATTCTGATGGGATTAGGGCTTGGCTGCAATAAAGGGCTCAATCTGGAGTCACAACATTATTCTGCAAAAACTTTCCCACATTCTCAAGTTTTTTGCCAGGTGGTTTGATTTTCTCCCACCTCACAGAGACATACTAATTATAAATCATCCCTTCCGAGGGGATTGGTTCCCAGTTCATTCAGTATCTACTATAGGAACCTAATATTTTGAAGAAGGGGATTAACATGTCTGTGACATTACATCATCTTTGGTTGCGTTGTTGGCTCTATATTTTTAACAACTACTGATTGAACAGTCAATGAATAGTGCTGTTTCACTGCATGGACAGTTAACATGAGATAAAAACCATACTTTTCAGAAATGTTTGTCACATTGCATGCTCGCTGATCAAACCCATTGTACTGTAGTCCTATATCCATTCACTGCTGTTTTCTATAAGGTATTGTGCTCTGTATTTCTACTCTGCCAGAACCTAACAGATTACAATGATCTAATTACAACCGTTCTATGTATTATTACCCTGTAAATGGGAGTCAAACAAATGATAAGAAAATCAAAGTAAACATTTGCGACACGACACCCTGCCCACACAGGACTCCAGCCTCAAGGTCCAGCAGGCAGACTAGGCTGAAGGTGATTTCTACCCCATGAGGAAAGTGGCTGGACTTCGCATGGTGTTACCTGACCGTGACCAGAGTATTGCTGATATTGCTGCCCTCCTGTTGTGGGATATTATGGGGTGGTGTAGAGACAGCTCACAGGAAGTTGTACTTTAAATCATTAGTCAATCAAACAGTAAAGCCCTTCGCAACTCACACGGCTGACAGCTGTAAACTTTCGGTGAGTGGGCAATGTGATTCTTTATTTTTAGGAGCCGCAATGAGCTTCCAGCAAGAGCAAACTGGCACAAGAAACCAGATGGAAAGCCTACTGCTGTCTCAGCTAAATCTTTCCCAAACTCCCCCGTCTCAGACTTTATTTCATTCTTGATTACACTTCTGATAATTATACCAAAACTGGCATATTCTTTCTCTGTTTTTCAATTCAAAACTTAATTCCTTTGGAGATTCATGGTTTGAAATGATCAATACGAGGAACTGGAAAGACTCTTTCTTAAATTTATCTGGCTTAAATTTCTGAATAAAAATATGTTTTAGCATTTGCAGTGTCTATGAACCTTCTGCTTCAGCTACTGTAAATATCGGGACAGCAATCGGTTCAGTATCTTATCATACGTATCACGTTTAGCAGGATTAGATGTGGTGAAAAAGGAAGTCATTCATTTGGGTCAGATCCATAAATCCCAGAGATATTCCGTAGGCAGAGTTTGGCCCCGTGCTGCACTTCCCCTCAGACTTCTCTGTAAAGCTGGTCATTGAAAAAGCTGTTTGCAGAAAAGAGGAGAAGAAATGTATAGGCATCAGAACAATTTCATGCCTCAGCAAAAATGAGGGCACTGCAGTTTAAAAAAATAGTCTTTCTATAAATATCACCACTGCAAATTAGTCACCTGGAGAAGGTACAGCTGATGAATGTGAAGAGCTGGGGGCCAGTGTTTACAAGGCCAGAGTCATTCCCAGCTTAGCAGTACTGAGGTTGTCAGTTAATGTGACACTGCAACAGAAACCATTTTCAGTGCAAAGTGACACAATGTGGCCCCAGCACTATGAGAGGAGGTGTTTTCTACATGCTGTATAGTGCTTTGGATTGAAATACATACTTTCTTTATGGAGTCTTTATATTTAAATTTCACATTTGATCTCAAAGAACCCCAGAGCTTTCTGTTGTTCTTTGCATGTGGGAAAAAGGAGGGGACCCAGTTCGTCCACCACAGTGAGATATTCAGCAGACATTGTTCACTGGTTGTAAACCCAGAATCAGAAAACGCTCTTCAAGGGGAAGCATGTTGAACACGCACTATACTACTGGTAAGTGGACTGGATTCAGGCTTGTACCAGTGCTTAATAACTCTCTCCATTTTTAAATGTATTTTCCCCCCTCAATAGATGGCAAATAGGAGGATCCTCTTCATCCGTTCCTGAACCACAACACCTGCCTGGCAGGAGTGATCAGGTAGAGACGTCTTTTACTCATTAATGATCGAAAAAATATTCAGAGCCTCAGTATCATGTCCTCTCCAGAGGAAAGTACCTCCTATGGCACAGTGTCTCCGGTCACCATACTGGGTCATGGACTGGGTTTGGAAACTGCGGTCCAGAAGGAGGAGCACTACCTACTGGTCCACCAGCACTATTTACAGCAGCAGCCTGGCTTTCCTTATAAAGGGTCAGCATCTGAGATCTGACTAGATCAGCCCACAGCAATCAGTCAGCATTGCTGCCCCACAGTGCTGGGGCCCTGGGTTCAATTAAGGACCTGGGGTGCTGTGTGTGTGGAGTTTGTATGTGCTCCCCATGTTCACATGGGTTTCCTCCAGGTGCTGGTTTCCTCCCACAGTCTAGAAACATTCTGGTAGGTTAATGAGCTTCTGGGAAAATTGGCCCTGCTGTGAGTGAGTGTGTCTGTGACTGTGAATCGGTTCTGTGATGGACTGGCTCCCCGCGACCCTGAATTGAAAGAAGCAATTAAAAATAAAGGAGGATGGAAGTGATCACTGCGAGCTATGCTGGTCATCTTGGGAAAATTTTATATGGTGGAACCCTTTTCAGAGCCAGGGTTCACTATATGGCCTGTTGTCCTTAATGAGGTGATTTCCTGAATGTCCCAGGCCATGGCTGGAGAAGATTTATCTAAGCACATACTCAGACACACTCAGAGCTACAAGGGAGGTTGTTTCAATAGTCTGTTGTTTTAAACCACAAAAAAACTCAGAAATCAGGTTAGTACTGTAGCTTCACTTGCCCCGACGTGCTCTGTTGGGAGAGCATGAGACTCATCATCTCAGGGTAGTGGGTTTGTGTCCCATGTTGGGTGCAAGGTTCTCTAATAACCCAGACTGGGCAGCAGCAGTATGGGGTGGTGTTGGTGGTGGAGGGTCACGAATCTGTGACAACGGCAACGACACTCGCACTATCTGCATGGAAGAAAGGCCTGGCGATCTGCTTCTGTGTCTTGCCATGAGAGCTCTATGTATAGTGATGGTGGGACTGTCCACAGGGTCGCCAGGAGTCGATACCGACTCGACAGAACTCAGCCACCACTGTAGCTTCATCTTGTACTGCACAAGGGGTGGATAGAACCTAATTCATTACTGAAATGCCTGAATAACCCTTCCTAATTACCTCCCCCCCTGCTTCCAGGTGATCTTGGCCATTTACACTCTACTTGAAGAAACCACAGTCTGATTTTGGTGGGGTTCTGATGACAGGATCAGAAGAAACTCTGCTGGAGTGTGGAAGAGCATTCATGCATAAAACATCAGTTTGTTCCCAGGAACCTGACAAAAGTGCCCTTTACATCTCAACTCTCCAGCCCCCTTTCGCCCACTCAGGAGGCTCTGGGGCACTGTGAGAAAGTCACGCGCAGGCGTGGGAGAGAGGGCTGCCTGCTGACTGCACTGCAGAGAGAGGCAGCACTGACAGAGCACGCTTTATCGACCCTGACGCAGGCTCCTCTCTGCCCCCTGACTCTCGCTGTATCTGTTACAGCGCCTCTTCATCTCCT